CTAGGTATGGCCTCACGAGCGGTGCAGTCATGTCCTTAAAGGCATTCTGCAAAACGTCAAAGGATCCCTCAGGGTTCCAAGACCAAGTATGTACTTGGTAGAGGATTCGAGACATCACCAGGCTCCGAAGAATTGCCACTTTGTTTTGTGGACAGACATACTTGGAAGTCCAGAGAGGGCGTAACAACGGCCCCCAGGCTTTACGGGCGTGGGCTACTCTATATCGAGCATCTCTGCTTGCAGTAGCGTCTGACTGCATGTACGAGCCTAGGTGCTTGTACGAGTGCGCAACTCTCACAGCCTCAACCGCATGCTCAAGCACAATGGGGACAGTGCTTTTCTGCGTAATATGTATCTGCTGCTTGAGCTGGCGCGACCCTTGCCCTTTCAATCCTAAGAGCAGCTCCGTCTTGTCGGGCTTGAAATTAACCCTCAAGCCCCTCTTACGACAGGCATCCGCAAGTAAGCTCACGATCTGTGCAGCTGCTTGGATCACTTGATTGGCTTCCGAGTGAAGCACGCAGATGGCTATATCGTCAAAGAAAGAGACATCCATCACTGACGGTGCATGATGCCCGTTTTCCCCACGAAATGCCTCCTCTAAGGACTGGAATCCTAACGAATGCATCCCTTTGCGAACATCTTTGAGTAGCGTCTGCGTGACCAAATTGAAGCAGACGTCTCCTATGGGATCTCCGGGACGAGTACCCCTTTGTGTATGGGCTGCAGTACTGATGCCCCTCGTCCGAAAATGGGTCAAACGAAAGGCATCTCTAGTCATGCCAAGAATCTGCTGACTCTGCTTCTGGAGCGCATAGTCCTGACTGGCTTGTTGTCTCCATTCATGGAGTTCTTCACTAGTGATCCCAGAGATTTGGAGGAAGCGAACTAAGGAGTCATCCATAGTAGCATTGCCAAACAGGCTCTGGCGCAGGACACTGTAAAAGGCTGCGTTCAAGTCAAGGAAGGCACATCCTACTGACAATGACCTGGCAGCGGCGCATGAAAGTATGGACTGGACAACCTATAGGTGGCCGTGTTCAGTACTGACTCCAGGTCTTCCTCCGTAGCAGGCTGCTCCTGCGACTGCCTGGTACGTGTTGCTCAAACTGTCATGCAGGCAACTGTGTGAGAGCTTGCCGATGCCATCTGACAAAAAGATGGATCTGTAATTTGTGGGGTCAGTGACAGCCCCTTTCTTAACACTGCAGGGGCTCTCGTGCCGCTATAGCCACTTTGAGGATCAGCTCATGCAGCATGATACCTAAGATGGAACCGCCAGCTTTGAGCACTTCATTTGGAATGCCGTCAAGCCCAGGAGCTTTACCTGCGCGCAACCTACGGAGCTTCCTTTGAACCATAGTTAGCGTGGGGAGGTCATCAAATCCAGGGACGTGAGTCGCTCCTGCCTGCTGCAGATGGGCCTCTTGCAACTGAGTGTCATGAACTTCATAGGCTGCTTCGATTGCGCCAAACTGGCGAAACCATTGCTCCTGCTGCTCAGCAAACGACTGCAAGACCTGGCCTTGGGCATCCTTAAGCATAGGCAGCTCACGAAAAATTCCTGCCTGTTTCTTCTTTCTCCCCATTTGACTCAACTTGGCATAAACGGCCTTGAAGTCACCGAGTCTCACGCAGCCCTAACTTCTTTTTCAACACTCCTCTGCTCCAAACAGCGTCCACCCTGCCTCGAGCGAGACTGAGGATTTGACGCTTCCAGCTGACCAAGACTTGTGCGCCGTTAGACATCCATGGAGGCTTGTTGTTGACCCTATGTGGGGTGAAAATGCTTTCTGCAAGTCGCTTCAACTGCTGCCTTTGCCAATGAGCATGGCGATCGATGTCCATGTTCCACATTGGGACTGGCAGTGCCGCCAATGCGTCTTGAAAAGCTCTCACCTTGGAGGGATCCTTGCAGACTCTCTATCGATTCGCAATCGAACAGGCACCGCGGCAACGCAAGTGCTATAGATTTCAAGGACCGTTGGCACGTGGTCATCGTGCACAAAACCTCCATCAAAGTCCCCCCAACAGAATGAAGCATAACAAGCTGGCCTCATCCATTGCCGAACTAGCACATGGTCAATTCTTGTCCACATGCCCCGTGGGTGGCGCCATGTGCCTGTGGAGCCTTTGTGGATATCGGCAAAGGTAGCAGGACAACACGAGTCACACGATTGAATGCATTGTTCCAAGAAGGGTGTTGCTCCGTTAGCTTTTTGTGCGGCGTGCGATGAGATGCCTTCACACTCGGATTGACCCAGGGTGGCATTGGCATCAATGCAAACACACATCTTGGCATGTTCAGGGACTTTCATCCAGTGCCCCTGCAGTTGAGCCCGAAAGGCCCAAATGATGGGAAAGCATGATGGGCCATTAGGCGTCTACCGCCTGGACTCAGTGTCAGTTTGGGACGCAAGAGTGTCTGTGGTGTCCGTCGTCTTTGTGCACCTGTTTTCGGGATTTTGTAGGTGTGGGGATCTGCATTGGCATATCGAGCACCATGACTGGACACATGGGATCGAGTGTTTTTGTCTTAGCATAGACCTATGCATTCAGAGGGAGGAGGGCGATTTGCTCGACCCCAAGCGAGTTCAGTGGTGGAAGGAAAGAATTCAAGCCAGACAGGTGCTTGGCATCGGGGCCCCCCTTGCGAGACCTGGACAGCAGCCAGATGGTTGGGCGGGGGTCCCCCTCCGTTACGCGACCGAGCCCATCCATGGGGGCTCCACTGGCTGTCTCGTAAACAGCATAGACAAGTCCAAGTGGGCACAGGGCTCTTACAAGTTGCAGTTGAATTGATGATGCTGTGTGTAGGGCTTGGAGGGCGCGGTTTCATAGAGCATCCGCAGACGCCGACATGGCTTTACCACACGCCGTGTCCCTCCATCTGGAGGCTGCCGATGATCAAAGCACTAGCCTCTCTTAGCGCAGTAGCAGCAGTATCGTTCGACCAATGCATTTTTGAAGCCCCAGCCCTGAAGCCTACGACCTTCTTGATTGCCAGACTCCCGCACTTCAGGGCGCTTGTCTTACAGAAGGGTTGTGGAGGAAGATGCCCACATGGGCCGGGCGCCCATGCCGGCCTTGCCGGCACACACAACGGCAAGTTTCGTACCGCCAAGGCTAAGGTCTGTCCTCCACTCCTTAACCAAGCTATTGCAGCGGCATTTCATGCCTTCGTGCACCGCTTGAGGCCCGAGAAGGCATCCAGTCGACTGCCTGACGTACTATATCAGTACGTCAGCACGGAAGCCATGCAGGACCCGGGTGAAATTCAACCCGATTACCATGGATGATCTGCATTGGCTGTGTATGCATGTTTGACAGACCAAGGATCCAAAGGATCCAGTAAGTGCGAAAGGAAAAAGGATTGGATTGGATTGGATTAGATAAGATAAGAATAGATAGATAGATAGGTAGGTAGATAGATCGATAGACAGATATGTAGACAAATGGATAGAACAGCGTGGAAAGACGCTACGCTAAAAGCTGGGTGGGGTTGAAGTGTAGGGCTTTGCAGGTCATGTGTCATTAGAGCGAAGAAACATGCACAGCTTTCTTGATGTCTTGTGAAGGCTCATGCATTACACCTGGGCTATGTACCGCAGCCCTTTGCTTGCGCGAGAAACAAGAGCTTTTTGCTGTGTAGGTTATGAGCCCAAGGGTGCGCTAGGCACTTTTGGGTATCGTAGAGGGCCTCATGAGCGAGGAAGCATCGGAGAGAACTCCGGAATCTGGTGGCCTCAAAGCCATTGAGGATGCAGGCCCTAGTGACGGGTTGATGCGACCTAGTGGGCCTCCTGTGGTGCTAGGACCAGCTGCGGTGAATCCATTCTGGTCCGAAAGGTTCCAAGATGAAGCTGTTTTGCGGGCTCTACGTCCAGCTGACTTGCCAGTAGAGTCACCTGAGTTGCTCCCTGATTCTGCCTTGTCGCCGCCGAAGGAAGGGGTGGAAGCATTTCGGACGTTCTTGCACGGCCTGATGTCGGAAAATGCAAGACTCTGGACCGAGCGTGAATCTTGGCCACTCGGGCAAGGAAACCATGGGTGGGGCAAGCCATCACTGGCTTTCAATCATCCACCTCTGTGGGTTATGGCGTGATGTCAGAAGGTCAACAAAGAGAGAAGAACATGATGGATTCACTGCTTGAGGCATTGCGGTCTTCGTGGGTGTCTTCAGGGCATGGTGGGCAAAAAGGCTTGCTGGGACCGCTGTCGTCTGGCGGAGATTGTGGAGGCCGAGGTGCTGTTCATGGTCTTTCAGGCGATCAGGGAGGTCTTCATGGGCACGTTGGGGGACCACGTGCAAGTCTCATGGAAGTGTTCAATCGTGTCTCGGCGACTTCAGGAGATGTCACGCAGGGCATGGTGGAAGCTTCGGCGGACAAGAAAGATGGCACAGCCAGGAGCTGTTGGAGCATTGGTCCTCGAAGAGGTTATAGAGTGAAGAGCTCAACAAGATCGCTGTGGTGCGGAGGAGGGACGAGAACATGGAGAATGGCTCCATTGGTTAGAAGCGATGGTGTTTTCAAGGGAAGTGGTCCTGGAGGAGCAGCATCCAGTGCTGGAGGGAGCACGGTGGTCTAAGATTGCAGCAATGAATGATGAAACCACCACAGGTGTTGGCACTTTCTCAAGACCAAGCACGGTGCTTCAAACCTATACAGTTCCTCTCCAACAAGTGCGACGCGAGCTGGAGAAGTGGAAGGAGCCCTTAACGGATGAATATCTCTCGTTGACCTCCAACACCAAGGCTTTGAGACCCACGACGGAGGCCTTGAAACTTCATCCCAACTATGCCGAGATGGAAGTGGCACCTGCGATGGTCATCCCCAACTTTGCATTGATAACTCAAATTAGAAAACTATCTTGAAATGTTCTTTGAATGCATGTGACTTGTCAGTTCATTACAGTGAAAACCAATTACTGCCTACACGTTCTGACGAAACCCAGACCTGTGAGTTTGAATCTATTTGAATGCTCAAGAGAAATCCAGCCTGGCTGAATGGATTTGAACTTCTGGGCAGAACTGATCTCAAAGAATGGTTCTTCATCCTTGAAGGAAAAGCTCCTTGCAACTCCATCGCATGGGATGTAGAAGTCCAAGACTTCCTTACCTTGCTGCTCTTGCTGCTTGACATAGACATGGTAGCCGGTGTGTGCTGAATTGGCAGCAAGTCCAACAATCTCTATACCCGCTAAACCACCCCACGTGTCTTGCACAAGTTTTCTCAATTGGTGGCCCTTCCTTCCAATGATTAGCAAACACTTGTGCTTGGCATTTGCGTAGTTTGTCTTCGACACATTCTTAAAGCGTTTTCGATGTTCTTCAATCGCAGCTCGTCCGCGAGCAGCCACGACCGCTTCAATGGCGAAAGCTGAACAGTCCTGCGTTGTATAATAGATGTAAGCCTTCCCATCAGGTGGGCTCTCCAAACTACTTACGGTTCGAAATCCCAAGCGCTTCAACACGCGAATTAAAGCAAAGGTGTAATGAACCTCAAATGGGAGCTCTTCTCCTGAAATATCAGAATGAAAAACTGCCTGGCCGTGGTCTTTCACACTGATGGCCACCACTTCCGCAAAAAGCAAGGAGGGCAGCGCTCGCAAAAGAAAATCTATGCAACTAGCTGGGTGTGTGTCTATCTCCACTGTCAGCTGCCGCTTTTTTGCAAGCGCTTGGCGGTAATAGGAAGCCATCAGGTAATTGGCGACACCATACTTTGCCCCGGGACATGCCCAGTCCAGTTCCTGAAACTCATTTTGCTCCGCCCCCATGTTGTCTCGCAGAGTAGGAAGTACGAAACCATGAATTGCGAGCATGCGGCGGACAGGTATGTCGATATCGTCAGTTGGACCCTCGCACAAGATTTTCACGAATTGTTCTGGTATGTTCTCCAAGCTTGCAAAATACCCATTCACACGAATGGCTCGAATGGTCTGAAGTTTCCCCATCAAGCTATCATCTGGGGCGTAAATCCAATTCTCTGTGTCCCATGCTTGGCTAGCCTCGCCAAGGGCGCGAGTCAAATTCCACGGAGTGCTGTTCCTCTGCTCTGCGCTCTGCTTCTCCTGCACCCATTCCATGCTTCTTATGAAGAGGCCTCTGTGTCCACAACAAAAGGTCAGAAAGAACTCAATCGCATCTTGAGACAAATACACATCAGCCTGGGCAAGTTGATTAACAAGAGCTTTGGCATCTGGCATTGGGGGGGTCCAGATGAACTTTGCAGTAATTTCCGCAGGTGTTCGTGAGATAGCTCCATGCATGTCCACAGCTTCAGATGCAGCTGATAGCAACAACATCATGGGAGGCTGCCATAGGTGTCCAGGTTTCAAGAACATGTTTAAGAAGTCCGGACAACTGAAGAGCAAGTGGCACTCATCAAAGACCAGCACCCGATCATTGTCATGTACATATTTGACTGCATCTTCCATGCTTCGTTTCGCTACATCAGGAGCGGAAGGCTCGTTCTCCAAAGCTGCCATGAACTGTATCTGCCAGTGCTGAGAGGTCAAACTATCAAAAGCAGGAGGATAGACTTGCAAATACTTAAACGGGTGCTCTCTACAAAGATAATGCGCCAATGTAGACTTGCCGCTAGCCACACCAGCACGAAGAAAAACAACCCTCTTCTTTTGCAACAGAGCTTCAAGCTGTTGAACTGTTTCGTCCAAAGGGATGAAGACATCGGTAGCAGGGTCAGCGAGTTTCAGTGGATGTGGAATCTTACGTTTGCCACTTCTCACCCTCTTTATCTCCATTGACTCCATTGCCGTGTATTTCACCAGCCGCTCCACAAGGTCTGCTTTTCGCCCTGACACCTTCAAACCCTTCTCGCGCAGCTTTGTCTTCAGTTTTCTCACTGTCAACTTCTCTAGGCTTGCTCTAGTAGTTTCTCTGCCTGAACCTGGTACTGCTAGAGTTTGCGAGCCGTTGATTGGCAGGTGCAAGAAGCACAGCACGACAATCACAATAGCAACTAACAGTTTGAAGCGTGATTGACCAGCTCGTTGGCGGGCCATGGCTTCGAAAAGGAATGTTCCTACCCTTAAACTTTTCTAGGACAGAGGTGACAAAAACATGGTTGACACTCAATGTATCAACTCTCCTGAGCTTGAAAGGTTTGTTCTAGTCCAAAATCCTGTCTGAACCAGAGTGCTTCCCAATTCCATCATGCATGAAGTTTGACAAGGTGCTCTATCTCGTTCCCGTGGCTCAAATTTGTCATCCAATCTGGACAGCACAGAAAGAAAACACCAGCGGAAGAGCATGGAAGCACGCAAGTGCGAAACAGGTGACGCTAACCAAATCTCAGCAAGCATGACAAAGAGCAAGCGCACTCACAGGAAGAAGAAACACAAAATGTCATATTATCCTGCCTGAAACAAGAAGAGGTTGATGTATTCAAAATTGGGTTTAAGGTTGTTGGGGAAAATGCCGCCGATGGTGGTAAAACCATATTTGATTTGAGGACAGTTTGGTTCGTGAGAAGCATCACCTCGCCGCGGAAATGAGAAAAACCTGCCTCTGTTGTGCAGAAAGGCTATACGGATAGAACCTGGTTCCGTCTTTAAGAAAATGCCACCGATTTTGGGAAAGTCAGCCACCGACTTTGGGAAAATCAGCCACCCACTTGGGGAAAATCAGCCACGGATTTCAAGAAAAACAGGCTCCTTTTTTGATTGATTTGGGACAAAGCTCAAGTCTCACTGTTTTGAACGCTAAGCATTTGGGTTTGGATTTAGGAATTGAAAACTGGGTGTATCTAAAAATATGTCAACCGGTAGGAAGTTGGAAGGGTAAACTGCTCGAACCTAAAAAATTTGATGTCGAAACTGTTTTGGGGTATGTGTTAGGGAAGCGCAAACTGATATACACAGTTCCTATTGAGGATGAAAATACTTCAACAACTATATTTGCAGTATGCCTTGTTACCTTGTAAGTAGTGGAGTTGAAATCCCGATGACGAATGAAACCTTTGACTTTATTTGGAACGGTTTTGGAAGCAAAGAGCTGACTGACAGCGAAACGGTTTCTTCATCGGAAGAAAGCTATGAAGCAATTTCATCAGTCCAAGCAGGACGACGGACACTACAACAGAAAACCGAACGACGAAAAGCATTTCAAAAAATATTACCAAGATAAAACGAAACAACCGTGTGTATGCGATAAATGCGGCTCTGCCATGAGCTGCAGGTCAAACTTGGCAAAGCATAAGAAAAACCAAAAAGTGCCAAAGGTGCTTAGTGTAAGTTCATTAGGATTTTATGATACAAGAAAATATCATAAAATTATAATCTAAGTATTTTTAATGACGAGATTGGAAAAATAAAAGGTATTGGAAAAAATACGACGTGGAGGAGGGCTTCGGTTCTGTGAGGGACTTGTACGAAAAGGCTAGGAAAGTCGATGTAGGCATAACTTTGGATATGGTTTCACAGTGGATGAAATCTCAACCAAACAAACAAACAAGAAACTACAAGAACTACAATTCTTATACTGCCCCTTATCCTAAATATGAATTTCAAATTGATTTGATGATAATGACAAGTCTGTTGAGGGATGTTAAAAATGAAATAAACAATCAACCTACCTTTGGCTTGGTATGTAAAGACATTTTCAGTAAAAAATGTCATATAGTGCCAATGGAAAGTAACGACACTGATGATGTTTATGATGCTGTAATGGAGTGCTTCAAGGTATTAGGTCAGCCATTATCAGTCTATTCTGATGACGAAGGAGCATTAAACAGTAAGAAATTACACGCCTATGTTCAAGGAGAAGGGATAGAGCACATAATAACAAAATTACACGCTAATCAGGCTAAGAGCAAATAAAAATAAGACTTGGGTAGATATGTTAAAACCATCACTAAATAGATACAATACTCAAGTTCATAGTTCAACTAAAATGAGCCCAAACAAAACGCACGACCATAAAAATGCGCTTGAAGTAAAGTCTAATCTTGTTTTAAAAAACAACACAATAGGAAATACCCAAGCATTAGGGAGGGAGATTATGTTAAAGTTTTTGATAAAGGCAAAGGCAACTACACTTCAAGAAAAGAAACAAAAAGTCAATGGACTGATAGAAAATATAACGTAATACTCAAGGGCCGAGACATGCTGAATAATACCTATTATAAACTGGATGGACTAAGCAAAAAATACAACCGTCATGAACTGCTACTACTTGTAAATGATTGACATTTTTTGTTTGTTAAATGTGTTTTAAGGTCCTATTTTTTGACAGTTGAACCACAGTGATCACACACAGTTTTTCTGCTATTTTTCCTTGTTGTTGTCTCTGTGTTGTTTGTTGTATTCACTTATATGTTCTTCATTGTTTTCTTTCCGACTTTTATTGTATTCAGTGGAGTAACCTTTCTTTTCTTCTCTTTTTGCCTTCAATTTGACTGTAGTATTTTCTCTATAGATTTTGTCTGTTTCCTTTTTTCTTTGTTTGCTTTCCTTTCTATACCTTTCCGGTGTTCTTCCAACAATAATTTTGTTGATACATTTAGTGTTCTCAATGTAATATCCTTCTCTTGTTTCCAATTCCTTTTTGTTATTACAGGGGTACTCTTCAATCCAAATATTATTACAATTAATGTGGTCCCTTGATTATAACCCCCCCCTCAACAACCAGGCCTCCAAAATAATGTATAAGAAAATCAATCAGTTGATAATTAAATAAGGAATCCTTAGCTAGCTACCTCTGGAGCTACTCTGGCAATATTAAATCAAAAGGAAAAAAGAATTCCTAACTTTGAAGACATCTGGAATATTAATTACAATAAAAGGGAATGAATCATGGAAATAGAACTAACTGTTTAAATTTCTATGGAAATCTGAATCCAAAGACCTGCAAAATCATTCAATCTCAATGGAAATCTCCAAATGTTTAATAGAAATCTCCATCCAAAAGCCTCCAAAAGCATCAAATCTCAATGGAAATCTTCAAATGTTTAATGGAAATCTCCATCCAAAAGCCTCCAAAAGCATCAAATCTCAATGGAAATCTCAAGTTTCTTAATAGAAATCTCCATCCAAAAGCCTCACTTCAGAGCACAGCAACACTCGATCGAGTCTTCGTTTGTTCAGTTTAGCTGAGCTAGCACGCGAGCCTTTTCAAGCTCGACGAAGGCATGGGAGTATCGAGCTGAGTCTCTATCAAAATGACACACGGGTTGGATGTTCACCATCAACCAAAGACCCAAGTGTGGGTTCTCCTCATGAGAATCTCTTCGCGAGACCGATTAGTTGAAAGAACAAAAACCACCCAAACTTCAAGGAGCAACATTT